CCCCCCCACCCCAACCCCCGTCCCAGCTCCAGCGGAGGTTGGCTGGAGGCCAGCGAGTGCCCCCAGGTCCTAGGCTCAGGGTAGGGTAGGGCCCACTGGAATCGGCCTAGGGCGTGGCCGACAGAGTTGGCCGGTTAGTTACCCCCTTAAGAGACAAGACCACAGACAGATGCTTTGCTTGCAGCAGCCTTTACTTCATCCCGTAAAGGAGTTGATTATAGATTTTCTTGCGCTGCTCTCTAATTGTCATGATTGCATTCTTGAGGGCTGTGAACCCGGCGAAAACGTCTCCAAACCGCACTCCTCGGCGCTGGCTCCAGAGTTGGCGCTGAGCAGTTGTTAATTAACTCGTTCATATCTGAATGCTTTTGCCTACAGCGCTGTGCTTCACCCACGTGGCATCCTAGAAAAAGTAGTGAAAAGCGTATTATTTTAATCTGGAAAGAATTTGTAATTTAGTTAGGGAAACAAGAACTATACAGAAAGGGCTATAAATGATGGTGATGGTTACGCACAGGTCTCGGTGCAGTGTGGAGGTGGTACAGACAAGGGAGGCCGCCGCAGGGAATCTCTGACCCTCCCAGAGAGTGGGGCGTCTTCCAACAAGTTGCCCTCACCTAGGTCAACTCAGAGCAAGGGGCGGCGGCCACCCCCCAGCCTCTATCATCTCTTACCGAATCGCCACCCCGACCCCGGGCAAAGTTAGGGGCTTTCTTGGAGGCACGTGGGGAGGGGGGCTCCTTGGGAAGGGGGGGTGCGCGGGACAATAATGATCCCGATGCACGTATAGCTTAACTTCCTACGGCCCGAATTTCATGACCATCCTGGTGCCTGCGTCGCCCTGTCAGGGATCTCCAGCGTTGAAGCGGGCTCCTTTCCGCCCAGAGGTGCCGTAATGGAGCCAAGAGACGGCGTCCCGAGGCGCCGGAACCCCGAGCGGGGAAGCTCGGAGCGGCGACCTCGCGGGGCCTGGACCGAAGGACAGCGGGGTGGCTTCCTGGCGCGGGGCTCCCGGTGTCTGGTAGTGCCTGGACAAGCTCCCCCGCCCCC